GGACTCAAACTCCGACTCGGCGAAGCAAAAAGAGGGTGGGTCGAGGAGCTGTACAGCGTCTTATGGGCCTATCACACCACGTCCCACTCAACGACAGGCGAAACCCCTTTTCGACTGACATACGGCACCGAGGCCGTCATCCCCGTGGAGATCAGGGAACCCTCCATGCGGACAGAAATGCCTCTCGACGAGGAAATGAACGACGAAGCACTTAGAGACGAACTCGACCTGGTCGAGGAAATTCGATCAGGGGCAGCCCTGCGCGAGGCTGCTCTAAAGCAACGAATAGCCACGCGTCATGACGACAAGGTCATCAGACGGGAGTTTCAGATCGGCAGCCTGGTGTTACGAAGAAACCAGAAAGACTCCCGCGAAGGGAAACTGGCCGCGAACTGGGAAGGACCCTATCGCGTCCATGGCACCACAGGCACCGGGGCATATCACCTCGAGCAGCTAAACAAAGAACCGTTACCACGACCCTGGAACGCTGCTAAGCTAAAGCAGTACTATAGCTAAAGCCCTTAAACACTAAGGACTTTCGCCGTCGAACATCCACATCTAGTCAACAGAGAGAAATGTCTCGACCACGTAGATATGCCTAGGTACGGGCCCGATCTACACCTAAATGACATAACGTCGTTCAGTCAACAAGGTCGAACGATAATGCCCGACAGGGACACCTCAATCGAGCTCCACTGTCGAAGTACCCACATGGCAGAACACCCAGCTCGCAATGGGCAGTTCACGCCGCGGGCATACGACCTCGATCTGGGTCATACGCTCGACACGCGGGCTTCACTCTGCACAACCGACGCATTTCAAAGTACGTCGAACCATCAAAGGGGTCGAAAGGATATCTCCGCTCGAGGACATAACTTAGACAAATTTTATCATAAAGTAACAGTCAAATACAAGCTTAGCTCGAGGACATAACTTAGACAAAATTCATCACAAAGTAACAGTCGAATACAAACTTAGATACAAGCAAGTTAACGCGAAATAACATCCATCAAAATAGCTTATACACAAGACAAGTTAATTGTGAACCGACCAAAAAGGCCGGCGATGTTCGGGGTTACAAGCCATGGCACGACGGCCAAAAGAAATAAGCACGGGCACGCAAGCCCCAAAAATGAGCACGGGGACTCAGGCCCCAAAACAAATAAAAACCATCACACTGGCACGCAGGCCCGAACAAAAACTTCATGCTAAACGTCCCCAGGACTACCGGCGTCTACCTCAGGAGACTCAGGAGGAGGCACCACCTGACCGTCAATAATATGAGACATGAACCCGACTCCCTCGGTATTCATGCCCGGATTCAGGATGGCGAGCTGGCTGACCGCGGCCTCGAACCCATCAGCCAGGGCACTGACACAGTCTGTCTCAAGTAGATGGATACGTGCAACCAAACATGAACGGGTCCGCAAAGAGGCTATCTCCTCCGACTAGTCGTCAACAGGATGCATAACAGCCTTTAGCTCATCGACTTCCTTGGACAAACGTTCGTTGTCACTCTCCAAGAGTTCCTTGTCCAGCTAGAGGCATCCCTCTCCCCCAGCAATCTTCGAAGAATTTTCCTTCTCCCCCGCCAACAGGTCGGCTTGCTCGCGAAACATTTCCTCGGACCGCTCGAGGGCCGCCTTTAACTTACGAGAATTGGCAGCAAGAGCGGCTTTATCAGACTCCAACTCCCTAACACGGTCCGAGGAGTCCGACCCTTCCTCGGCAAGGACCACGGCCATCTCGGCCATCTTCACCATCCCGACCATGCTGGCCGCGAAGTGTTTCCTCCGGCTTTCTTTGTCAAGCCGTCTAATGGTCTCGGCCTCGTCATTGCTCACCGTCAGAGGAAACCCCTCGAAGAAATCTTTTTCTTTAAAACAAGGGGTAAGCCGAAGGCCCTCGCAGCTACGGACTCGTCGCCAATCTCCGACCTGATTTCAGCCCGACTTCTCTTCCTAGTAATCAGCTCGGTGGGTTGCTCAGCATCAGGAGAGCCCGAGGACCCACTAGAGGCATATCCGCTCGAACTGGCCGGCGGGCCCATCCTCGTGGCTTGCGGTGTTCGCACCAGCCTTTTGTTTATTTTCTTGTCCTGGGTTAGTTTCAATAACCTCTCCCGTCGTTCAGCCATGTCGCCTGCAAAAAGGAGCAAAACCCGGGTTAGCTGTAAGCGAGCAAAAACAACGAAAATGGAATAAAACAATAAAAGCAGAAGCAAGAAACCTAGAAGATCCATGGCCTGCCCGTAAGATTGGCACTCGACGAGCGCCTTAGTGTTGATGGGACGAGCCTCGAATGTCGGGTACCCTTCCTCGTCAAGAATATCATCCCCTTCCCTCGTAACCCACCGGGAAGGGAAGAAGTTGTCGACATACTTGCAAAGGACAACATAGGCCTCCTCGTCCTCAGCGCTCATGCTTCCCGCAGGCGTATGATAGTACCCGGTGCCATGGTCGTAATGGCCCGAGCACCAATGTATCGGGAACTTGGAAATGCGCCCGACTGCCGGACGACCCTCAACATCCACGAGGGGCTCCCCGTCCGCGTCGACCACCGTGGTTTCCGATTCGAACAAGGAGTCCAAGGAAGTTTGGGTGACCGGCTGCAAAACATACCATTTATCCTTGAAGTCCCTTACCAAATCCATATACATCCCGAACAACCTCTTCGACTGTTTCAGGGATAGCCAGTTGTGCCTGCCTCCTCGAGACTGACGCTGCAGGTGAAAGACCCTGAAGAAAAGGGGAATCGTCGCCCCGATCCTCAAGAAACGGCACGTCAGCTCGAACGCCCGAAGGAAGGCGATCGAATTAGGGTAAAGCTGCGAAGGGGCCAAGTTCAGATGGCTGAACACCCCGACTTGAAAATCGTTGAAGGGGAGCTTAAGACCGAGATCCCTGAACACGATCTCATACATTGGGAACCCGTACTCAGTAAACTCCGAGCAGATACGCGCATCAATCGACGACCTCATTACTATAAAATTCTTTTGAAAACCTGGTTGACTGCCGCCATGCTCGACGACAGTATAGGCACGCCGACTACGCCGACAGTACGCCGAGGCAATCCCCCGGGGCTCGGCGCCCACCCAATCCAACGTGGGGTCATCAATGGTGTCGACTAAAGTGACATTCTCCTCGGTACTTGTATCCTCGACTTCATTTTGCCTCAAAGATTCCGGTTCGTCGGCCATTTACCTGCAAAGCACAGGAAACCGGTGAATTCGAGAGCAAATCCGCGTGCTCGCCACAGAGACAGGAAGTAGTACACAACAAGCCGAACACGGACACCCCAACTCCGACCACGCATTGGGGACAACAAGGGAGTAGCACGAACGCCCCGGGCGAAACATGAATCACTCGAGCAAGTTCCTGACTTCGCCTGCCCGACACTAGGACACCGCGAGGAGGCTACCCTACATACTTCCTAAAAAGGATGAACATTCCGGCCAGTTCATGGGCATGCCGACCAAATGCATGAATGTCACGAGCAGTATCATGAGTCATATGCCTAAAACTATGAATGTCACAGGCAGTATAATGAGTCATATGTCTAAAACTATGAATGTCACAGGCAGTATCATGAGTCATATGTCTAAAACTATGAAGGTCACGGGAAGTATCGTGAGTTATGTGCCTAAACTATGAGTTTACCGGGCACAATCATGAATCTACCGGGCACTACTCCCAGATATGGGTTTCTAACATAAAAAATAACATCAAAACTACCTACAACGAAGAAAAACAGGAGGAACGAACACTTACTTGGAAGAAAAGAGGTACGTACGACGGCGGTGGAAGTAATCAGCGGCGGATGGTGCGGTGATCTCACGGCGTTGCAGGAAACGACAGCGGCGGAATCAGAGAAAGAGGGAGAAGCGCGAAGAAGAAAAACAAATTATGGGCCCAAGGGTCCTATTTATAGGGATGACGTGGAATACGAAACGTCGCACCGGGGAGCCGCGAACCTCCCCGTCCTCGACATCTACTCCCCTAGGCAATGATGACCCTATTGTTGCTAGGGTGGTGTTACGATTCCCAAGGACTGCCTCGTGTATCCGACAAAACGCAGCCCGCGAGAAATTCCTCGAGCACGCGTCGATAAGGATTGCCCTGCGTATCCGACAAGCGCAGCCCGCGAGAAACTCCTTGAGCACACTTCGAAAAACAAAAAGCCCTGGTCTGGCAACCAAGTTCCCCCGGAAAAAGCGAGCTAAGATCAAGTCATAACTCTTGCACCAGGAGCATCGACTTGGGGGCTTCTGTTCTGGACTGGGCCTGCCTTAGCCCAAAAGGCAGATAAAGGCCCAAATCCAGACAACTCCTCGAGGAATGCTCACAAACGGACCATCACCGAACGTGCTCGACCACGGACTACAGTTGCTATGTCCGCCATTGCTCGACCATCATCTATTACACACCTATAAATTTTTGGCCTGCTCATTCCGCCTCTCACTTTAGCATCAGAGTGTCTTGCAGGTACCCCCCAATCATCTCTCACTCAAGCCAGTTCGAGCCATCCGTGATGGTCTAAATCTGATGATCATTTTTTATTAAAACATTTGATTTACAGACATCTTAGCTGCATCAACTAGTCCCTCTTTTGGAACATAAATTTGATAGGTTCCCTCGTGGATTACAATTGCACAACATGTTTCTTGCAACTGTCCCAAATTGTTCACATTGCTTTTAAGATTCATAACATAATAAACATTATCTATACTTGCACTTTGACACTTCCTTTTCCCATAACACTCATGTTAAAGTTGTGGCACAATTTTTTTATATAAATAGACTAGCTACTTATTATGAAACAGATTGAAACATAAAATATTTATATTACAGGTTCCAGCAGTTTAACTTCTTTTTGCTTGTCAATCAAATGAAACTATACATTTGTTTACTTGCTATCTATCCCACTACTACACTACACAAACAATCATTGAAAGCCAGAGAGAATCAAACTTCAAACTTCTATTAGAAAATGGAGTTTCTTCAATCTGATTTTCTTTTCGAGCCTGTTTTATCTTTGTTAACAGGCTGGAAAAGCCATTTGAATATCCACACTGCAAAAATAGTTCCCTCTATGGGAGCAAGCCAGTAAACAAGGAGGTGCTCTTTTGTTATGTGATCCCCTCGAGCATAAGCCCATCCCATCACCTGAACACGTCAGTCAAAGTTTCCGTGAATATTTGTTGCGGAAAATAGCTACATATAAACTTGGATGTAACGGTACTTACAGCTGCGGGGTTCATACAACCACCGGTGAGATCAGAACCGAGTATATGAAGTGTTAACTTGGAGAGACTGGAAATCCAAGTCTTCATGAAGAAATTTCCTTGGATTTTTGTTGCGGCGAGCCCAAGTGAAATGCTTACAATTACAAATGTTAGTAATCCTTCTGTTAGTGATCCTTGATGAATGTCAACATTCAAACGCGGACCCTGTCCTACTTCGGGAATGGTGTATATAAGAAATTTAACTCCAACAATAGATCCAAACACCTGAAGGGATTCATACCATGCACTTTAGAATAACAATCTTCAATTCAAGATGAGTTTGAGACGTTCGGGTTTAGGTCTTCAGTTGAGATGCATGAAAAACGGTTCGTGTATATATAAACTCAAACATGATGTAACACAACACTTTGCCATATCAAGGACAGTTGAAGCTTAAGTATGATGAGAACCCAAAATAAATCAGCCAGGCAAGGAGAGGGATTTCATTGGAATCAAATGCATAGAAAACTATTTCTCATCTAAAAACACATGTGTCTGGACTTTTGACCCCAACACATGGTGGTCAAAATCAAGATTTTAAATCACTACAAAATTGTTGATTAAACTTGAACTAAAAATTCATAAGAAAGTCAAACACTACTCATAAATCACAAATTAACAACTAGCTCGAGTATTAACAAGTACAACTTAACAATTTGTAAATTAACAACGGCATGTGATTGGGATTTCGCAAGTCATCAAATATCGTAAGATCGTGATTTTGATTATTACAATGTAACCCAACAGGTTGATTGGTAAGTGAGATATGGAAAAAAGAGAAGAAACATATCTCAGAAAAATTACGGAAACAAAAGGGAGAAAAAGAATAAAAAATCAGATTCATGAGACTCTATTTTTATCCCACCACCACATTCACCAACCAGGATAGCCAATGCCTCAGCAAAAATCAATCAATACCTTCAGAAATGACCAGGTAATCAATTTTAATCTAATATCCTAATCGACCAACTCACACGTACTCTGCTTTTTGAGGAAGCCTGGAAATTCAATCTAGTGCTTCTTCAAACACAAATCAGAATCATCGTGGTCTAGGTCACAAATATTCCACAAACAATATACGTGCAAGTGCGACTCGGTGTGTATGTAGGGTTCCCTTAAATTTTTGGAGGCCTTGATTAAGTTAGCCATATTTCAACAGTGACAAAACAACTAGGGGCCTTATAAATTCATGGTTTAACTCTAACAAACCTATTACGAGACCCTATTTAGTCACAATTTAACCTTGACACATATGAGGCCCTGTATTGTATCTCATCTTGCACACCCTCAAAGACAGGCTTATGTGCATGTATGTGAAAGCATGTAATTTGACCCTGTATATGCGAGCGTGATTGTTAGTAAGAGAGAGGCCAAGTTGATATCTAAGCACATAATTCATCAATCATAAAGCAATGTCGATAAATCTCTCAAAGTCAATAAACCATTCATCAGTAAAATGAATGCAAGTACCAACAAAGTGGGCGCAACAATAAAGTGACACATTTAAAAACAAACATTCTCAATCAAACCCTAAAACCTATTCAAACATTTAATAAAAAAATCAAATTTTGTTTTTTTGTTTTGTTTCCCACAAGGAACCAAATAACATCATAAAAAGGACAAAGAAGATTAAGGAGATTAACCTGAGCAGGAATTCTAGAACCAACACAAAAAAGAAAGTTCCGAAAATCCCCAGAGATAGCATCAGCCAAAACAGTGAGAGGATTATAAACCCCACCACGAGAAACCTTGGAAAGCAGAGCAAAGAAGAACATGTTGGCTATGGAAAACAAAAGCTTCACAATCTCAGCAACATGGGTATGAGAAAAACCCAGAATTTTGAAGACGATTAACCGAACGACAACACCAGAACATACCCACATGAAAGATAGAACAAAATCTGATACGAAAACCAACCTACTCCGTTGTTCCATCTTCAACTACAACAAAGAAACGATGAATTGATGATATGTTTTTGTATCCGGAATCTGAATAGACACAGATGATACCAAAAATAACACATTCTTTAATCGCATATTTTAGCATTCTTTTTTTGTTAATTAAAATTTAGATTGGTTCCTCCAAATAAAGTAAGTTAACTTATACTCCATCCGTTCCTTTGTAACTATTACTTTTATGAAACAAATTTATTTCTATTTAATTATTGTTTTTAAATTTCCATATTATAATTATTATAGTTTGTCAAAATTACCTCTAACAATTTATTATGAAAGAGAAAAAAGTATATTGAAATGATTAAAAATTAAGAGTATTATAAGCAAAAGAAAAATTATAGTCTAAAAAATAATAACTATTATTAGTTTTTCTGGTATGTGTAAAATGTTAAATTGTGACAATTAAAAAGAAACGAATGAAGTATTTTTTTGCGACAGAGGATAAATATGAAATTTAACTATAAAAATCTAAGAATTACTTTTTCTCTTCCAAAAGCAAGAAAACTCTTCAGCATATGGACACGCAGAACAAAAAATGACACCAACACTAGTACAAACATGTATAAATATCAATAATGATAAGTGGGTATCGATAATAATTTTAGAAAATAAATAAATTGAATGTATATAAGTATCGAAATTGTGTCGATGTCTAACACGGACACAAACACACATTTTTTTAAGATGTCGGGGGGTTTGATAGATAAAATTCTTACAAAAATGATCGTAGCAAGATTCATATGTGAAAAGTGCATAAGCTAAATTTAATTGGACACACCTATTTTTAAAGGGATTACTCTTCTTAGTCTATGTGTTGCTCACCCACTATAGTGAAAAGTCAACGAAACTCATAAATTCTAAATTTTATTATCACATACAAAATGAAAAAAAAAACACATTAAATGGATATATGTAAACCCTAAAAAAAAATTGGAGATTGGAATTCGGACCCCCTAATCACACCCATGACTCAAAGTCATACAAAAACAATGTTGAAATAATCTAGATTCCAATCTCCGAAATTTTTAGGGAGATTATTATCCGAGCATGATTGATTTATATACCTGCACTAGACATTTCCCTTTTACTTTTTCATTTCATAAAGTTACTCAAAACTCAAAACAAATATCATGAGCAAACTTCATTTCATCATTTTTTAACCTTTCTCACTACTTTTACTGTATTGCATTCAAGCCTAGGAAATCATTATACCTCTACTTCACTCTATTCAATTGTTGTTTCTCATTTTTTTAAATTTTCTCATAATTTGGTAAGTTTCTCATTTTCTTACTTTTCTTTTTTATTTATGATGCATGCATTATCTAAATAGATTGTTTATGGTACCTTAGGTTGTAGTTAAAAGCATAATAGATTGCTTTGTGTTGCATGCATCTACATTTTTTTCAAGCTTAGAGCTAAAGGCAATACTTTGTTTCCATGTTTCTGCTGGGTTCATATAGTTCATATTTTGATATCTGAACCCTTAGTTCGAATAAAAAAAATTAAATTTACTCGTTATGCATAATTTGTATGATTTATCATGTTTTGCCCTCTGGATTTACCTGTTATGATATGCTTTTTCTAGTGTAATTATAGATAAAATGTCTATCAACTAAGAAAGATTGAGACATGGTAGAGTGGCACAACATGCTTCTGTTCATATGGAAAAAAGTTAGACTTTTGCGTCCGTCTGTTGCTTCGACTTCATTTGATGCATAAGTATCGTCTTCTTGAGTTCACGTATCTCTAACATCATTTTCTCGGAGACATGTGTCACATGCTGCCCTAGAAGCCTCAGAAGTCCATGTTGTTGAACCCGTTGTTATTGTTCCTGATGTTTTTTCAGAAGGCCCCTCAGACTCTTCACTACTTTATTTGTATCCAGACAATGATGCTAGGCACATGTGGGACGGAGAGATAAAATAAATATGTAGTTATTCTTTTAAACATATGTGTTATAAGATTTATACTTTATGACAATAATGTATTTTTTTACAGCATTGTTATTGGGTTTTATTATGTTGGCTACATTTTGTTAAAACAAGTAATTCAACAAGATGTTGGGACAAAATATCCTGACATGTTGGTACGACATCGTAGCTCAAGACTTGTTTTACTTTTGTCAAGATTTGGTTTTAGCGTAAGATCACTGAAGATTTGATGGAGATATAATTTGCGCAATCCATGGGTATTTAAGCATGTATTTCTCAAGACATCAAAAATCTGATATTATTTGATTTGTTTCTCAAGATTGGATGTCATAACATTCAGGGGAACATTATTATCCTGATTGTGTGCAGAAGATTTGATCTAATTTGTTGTGGTTTTACATTCTCATAAGATTTGATTTATGGTTACTACCGTCCAAGATGCATATATGAATATTTGATTGTCTAAATATTTGTTTCAAATATGAGATATCTGAAGATTTGTTTCACAAGATCGAATTACGTAACATTCCAGGAAACATTATATTTTGCTGAAGATTTTAATTGAATTGCAGATTATTTAGCCAAATTTGATCTTCAATCCCAAGTTGTTTCTCTGGCTATAAAAAGAAAGTCTCTAAACCTAAGAAAACAACTAAGTTGTGTATGTGATAGTCAATATTAGGTTTTAGTTTGTTCATTGTGAGCCACTCTTGTAGGGGTGGTAAAACGAGTTAGGCCCGCTGGGCCGGCCCGCGCACCCGCCAAAAAATGGCAGGTTGGGTTGGGATTTTGAACCGCCTCCCATCAAAACCCACTTTGCTAAAGACCGTCGTCCGCCAAATCTTGCCCTGCTAAAACCCGCCGCCCACCAAAGCCTACCGTGCCTATTCATTCAACTTGTCTCATCTTAAGCCCGTTATTGTTTTGTTAATTCTAATAGGTCAAGTTCTTAATGATTTTATTTTATACATTTATTTGTGAATGTATGCAATAGTTTTTTAAAGTAAATTTTGTTAAAAAGATGATTTATAAAAAATTATTCTAAAAAATAAGGGGAAAATCTAATTGAAATGTAAAAAAAAGCTTTTTGATATGTTTAAAAAATGAAAAATAAATAAATAAAAAAGTAAGCGAGAAATCCCGCCAACCGCCACCTTGGCGGGACGAGCTAGATTTTTATGCCCATTTCCACTTGGTGGGCTTGCCCACCCCGTTCTTTTTTTAGTGGGCTTAAGGTGGGTGGGGCGGGGCAGACGACCCGTTTTGCCACCCCTACACTCTTGTATCACTTTGATGCTTGAGTTGGACTGAGTTTTGAGTTGTAATTGTGAATCACTCATAAGATTTTAAGCAAGAATGGATTATGTTTCATTGGAAGTATGTCTTCTTTTGTTGTTATTTTTTCCATCACTATTGTGTGATTGAAGGAAAGTGAGAGGGGTCTCATATCTAGGAGTTTCTTAGATAAAAATTACGTGGGTAATGATTAGGTGCAAAGTTTATAAAACCAGAGGTTATTTAGAACTTCAAACTAATACTTCTATAGTGGATTTTCTTCATGGCTTGGATGCCCTCAGATGTAGGTGACGTTGCACTGAACTAGGTTAACAACTGATATATGTTATTTACTTCCTGCATATTACTTTACATTGTTTATTGTTCTGTCAGTTGTTAGGATGTATTAACATTGCGCTCAACATTGCGTTTTGTCATCCTGGTGTCGTGACATCGTATACGATATATGTCTTGTTGTGCCAGAATTTCAATTGACATCAAAGCAGGCACCCAGTTCTATTTTTGGGTGAGCTATAGGAAAGATATTTTATGGAACCATGGACAAGGAAGGAGAAAATACTAACAGACCACCAATTCTAGATGATACCTACTATGATTATTGGAAGGTGAGTATGATGACTTTTCTAAAATCTATGGACAGTAATACATGAAAGCTTTCATTAAAGGTTTGCGACACCTTGTGGTAAATAACAAATATGGGAAGGAAACACCTAAGCCAGAAGAGGACTGGTCTAAGGAAGAATATCAACTTTCTCTTAGAAACTCCAAAGCTTTGAAGGCCATGTTCAATGTTGTTGAAAAAAATATATTCAGGCTAATAAATACCTGTATTATGGCCAAAGATGCATAGAAAATATTTTCAACTCAAATGACATAACATCTTTGTCCAACTGAAAACAACTTTAGAAACAACAAAGATCTTAACGAAATCAACTTAAAATTCAGAAACGAAAGTAAGATCAACAATAAAGCAACAAGCATTCATCCCCCGAGTGTTACGTATCAGAGCGACGACACCGACTCGAACTACTGAAGGTAAACACCCTTCATTCTGGATTACCTGCACGTTACCAACATAGGGGTAACATTCAAATAGAAGGGGTGAGATATCAAACAATATAATAGAATGTATGATGAATAATATATTAGAATCAATTCATATAACAATCACCACTTTAGAGCTTTTTAACAACATTCAACACATCTAATTCTTCCATATAACAATTTAGGATGCAACATGAAATACGACTTGATTTTTATGCATATGCATATGGTACCAACGGAGAAAAACTCTCAACTTAATAATATGCCAATAAATAGAGGCATCAACAAGGTATAAGCCTTCAACTTAATATTTTTCCAATAGTAGGCACTAACTGGTAATCTGGAAAAGTGAAGCAGTGATGTAGAGGGTCAAAGAACTGAAAGAGCACTTTTAATATTTCTTCATCAAGATTTGAGGTGACCAAGCTGAGAAGTCGGTCATGTCTTTCGGTGAAGGGATAGCTTTCAGGAACCCTTGATACCAATTCCTTAAGCTGAGGAGGTACATTTACCAGACTGACTTGGATAATGAATTTGCGGGCGAGGGCCATGTCCTACAAAGCAAGACAAAAGTAAACCCTAAGAATACTTGATATGGTTAGTATGATATGCTATGTTATGATGTCATGATTATGCTCAAATATAGCAAATATAGCAAACACAAGCAAATCACACAGAGACCTTAGGTTTAAGGCTTGCATGGATTTT